CACACGATAAGATAATAATACTGTAAAAATTAAATATCAACGTTAAAGTTACAGTTAATCCAAAAAGCAAAGTTTGTGAAATTAACAGTCACGGAGAGCGCGGCGTCACATGCTTACAAACGTTACTTTATAGACCTTTCCTTGATGCGCCTAAGATAATGTTTTATATCAGCAGGAAGAAATCTCTGATATCCATTTCTTTCGTGCGCTAATAAATCTACGAATAAGTTCCGCCGCATCTCCATACCATCCTGTACATAGGCTCGAGTATATATGTCAATATTAGTGCCTGTCGCATGGGTAATACTACGTCTCTTGAAAAATCTTCCATAAAAACTTAAAACAAAGTGTTATACTCACCATATAAATATGTGTGGCTTTTGGTCTATTCCACGTAGACATACATTGTAGAATAAGATATCCACTTAAGTGTCTGTGGCAAGATTCATGATCAGCGATATATAGAAATAGTTAAATCATAGGTATTATTATTGCAAGCCATAGTGACTCTGTGTTAGTTACCCATCTATGTCCCCTGCAATGTTTCCTTCCCTTCTGAATTTCTATTTGAAGACATCCTCATTCCATGCAGGAATATGTACATTCACAGCGTCCGTGTACTGTAAGGTAAATCCAAGAGTGGTCTCCCTCTTATCACTCAAACTGTCAACTATATGCTATTCTCCCTCTTATCTCACTCCAACTGTCAACTATATGCTATTTGTTTAGTTCAGATGTAACAGCTGTGGCAATTTTTCAGACCACTTTCAGTTAACTCAATTAGAAAGCCTTGCCTTGTCTTCTGTAGGCAACACCTATGGTGTATTGATTTAGTGATGCTATAACTTCAATTTGTCAACACTTTCCAGATTTCTTCCTAAGCTTAGCTGAAATAGAAGAGCTGAAGAATGGTCCTTATAAAAAATCCAACTACATTCTGCAGGTTGGCTATGATACAAAAATAAGTGATCGCTAGAGCTGCATATGTCACAAGGGCAACATCAATCCAAATGCAGGTAACAGTGGTATGCCTGATTGTTGATCACTTAAAAGTGGAAAAGTCACTTGCTGAAACTTGTGTAACTAAAAAGGAAACTGAACTTGAGAAAACATCTTGTTTCTTTGACCACAATATTGTTAACTAATCTGACGAAGACTACAACCAAATAAATTAATTTGAACTTTATGCAAGCTTGAACTGAACAAACAATAAAATAAGATAACTAAAGACAAGCAAGAAATGATTATCTAAAGAAAGTCATTGTAGCAGAAAGTGAAAGTTCAGAATCTAAAGTCTGAAACGTGGAACTTACCTACTTACTTGATGATAAAGATGCAGTGCAGACTGTAATGGTGAATGATCTGCGCCTCCACATATACGAGGAATATAGTAGCATCTATAGAGTGCGGGATTAAAAAATCATCAGTTTTCCTACATTGATAAGATCATCAGAAATGTAAAGTGTGCAACTAATAACTAAAAACTTACACGAGTGGCACCAGCAAAAGCACAAAATATCGAAAGAACACCAGTGTTGCAACTCATATCCAAAACTACCTGAAGTTACCATTTTCATAGACCACAAGAGTTAACTGAGCAGAACAGAAAGCTATATCATATACAGGAAAACATCTACCCAAGACTTATACATTGCTGGCCGGCCGGGGGTGTCGGCCAGTGCCGGCTGTGACCAACAGGGTGCCGATTCCATACAGCAGTGGCTTCCCGGGCCATTGCTTCCGCATGCTTGGCAGCCAGGATGGCTGCCCCCCTCATCTACAAATAAACAGAAGCAGAACAAAATTTGTTACAATCCAGAATTCACATAGAACTACTCATGCAACAGTGATTGACCACCAAACCCATCTTCATACCTTGGCTGATTCCCTCCAGTGCCGGAGTAGGAGGTGTAGCTCGTCCACATCCATTTCTGGCACCACCAACGCCGTGATCCATAGCCATCCTAGCAGTATTACCTCTTCCACGAGTTGTACAATATTCAAACTAGGCAATCTACGTTGTCATGCACCAATTTAATATGAAATAGGAGACTGAAAAGTTCCACTAATTTTATTTCAACAGCAAATGAGACTATTTTCATTATTCAGAGATTTCACACAGATGCGATACAAATATATATAGCCCACACACTAAGCAACACCCTATAGTAAGAAGACAAAATAAGGACATTCTATAACCATCTATGAACTAAATAACTAGAAAACTTAAAGCAACTGTGCCTTGATGATGAACCTGCACTTCTTTTAAAAATTACATGCATTACACATTCATACATAATCATACCTAAAAATTAGGAAACAGGGAGGACAGAGTCATCCTGCAAGGAGGGATTGCACACGACTGGAATATGAGCAAGCCTTCGCAGACTCTTCAATGGGGTTGATCTGGTTGTAAGGGGAAGACGTCCTCCTACTCACACGCGCATTACAAACAAATCAGATAAACTCATCCCAAAAAACAAATCAGATATACTGTAGTGGTTGACTAAATTAATATGACAGTGCTTATTCAAGGAAAGTAGTGTACCCGTGCTAATGCTACAGTAAAAATACAAAACATAGCATACATAGGTCATCAGTTCCACATGGTGGTGAGAACAGCCATGTAAATTTTAGTCAACTAAAATACTATTGATAAAAAACAAACCTATCTCTTGGATCTCCTGATGATATACGTTGGACTTTCACATAATCAGTAGGATCCATGCTACCTCCTTTCTAGGTATCTGGCCTCACATAGCTTGCGGCTTGCCAAGCTAAGGTTGACACAATATCAAGCCATTTTTGTGGACCCACCATCATTTCCCATTTCGATGCCTTCTGCCCTCAGTAATTGAGCCACAAGAGCTAGGAAATGACCGAGCACTGCAGTCTTCAGACCCTCTTTATGAGCAATGGTTGTGACCTTGTCAATAACAGATATTTTGTTAGCACGAAAGATACCAGAAACAAGAAGCCCGCTTGAGTCCCCAACCTCATCATGCCGTTGATCACATCTACCAATATATGAGAATTTGAGTAGCAGCCATGGTCCCACTGATTAGTTACAACCTACCCCTGTACTGAAACAATTTGACTCATTCTACAGAGACAAATCGACGAAGCAAAGCCTGCCAGTGTGAAGAAATTCCATAAATAAAAACTTGTACAATAACAACCATTATTACCGAAGCACTCCACTAATGATCACAACGCTGAAAAATTGTGCAAATTTTACGTCAGTAAATCCAATCGCATTCAACAATATGCTGAAATTTAGCACCCGGCCATGTTACCAGTGATGAACTGATGATAAACAAAATCGATAAAGGTGGGTATAGAACGACGATAACCAAACAAAATATAGCCACAATTAGCAAAAAATTCACGCGGACCTTCCCACTCGCTGCCGTTGGCAGGGACAACATCCATGTGCATGCCGACGAAGGAGGCAACGCGGCCGGGGACAGTGCCAGGGTAATCGAATCATAAATAAATTAATCGTGTCGCAGGGGGAGAGAAAGGGAAACCGAAGAATTATGAACTTGCAAAGAGCTGTATGGTTGTATAGACCTGCCACATCAGACAGCATAAGTATCTTCGAATTGACAGCTTTGAACTTCTCTCCTCAACCAATCTTGGCTCACCATCGTTACCTCTCTGTATGTCAAAAGAATGAAAACAAATGAGAAGTGGCTAATGTCCTTGTTTTGTTTACAGAGCTAATTTCCGTTTCTTATAAGATTCAAATCAACTAATTTGTGGTCCGGTGCTGACCTGCATGTAGCCGTGGAGCCTACCTCCGTGCTCCGGTCGACAAACAGACCTTGGTTGGCGCCAGAGGTACTCGCTGTTCCTGTCCCTCAACCTCGGCCTCCACGTCCGTCATGGACATCGGGGCCCGGGGGTGCTGCCGCTGCTAGATCGAGGCCGCCTTCGCGGTCGCGTCGCTCCCCGTCGCAGTCGCCGAGACCCCCGTGCCCCCGTGCAGGTGCGGGCGTGCGCCCGTGCTCTCGCGCGCGAGAGAGAGATGGAGAGCAAGGATGTCGAGGAGCGACGCACGGAGCCACCGAGAAGGCTAGACAGGGGTTCCCTAGCTCTATGCGGCCGCCGGCGGCGCGCCCAGATGGGGGGGGGCGCGGGCGACGATGGTGCGCGTGCGGCGGCGTCGTAGCCTGCTGCGGGCGGGCGCGGGTGGCGGTGGCGCGGCCTGCTGTGGGCGGGCACGGGCGCAGGGTGGGCGCGATGGGGACGTGGCGGCGGCGCGGCCAGAATCACGGGAGCGGGTTTTGTTTTCTTCCCGGAGCGACGTTTCTTTCCTTGGAAGGGAGACGGGCGTAGGGGCGTGTGCGGCGATGGCGCGGAGCAAGGTTTCTTTCATTGCAAGGGAGACACGCGATATCGCAAGGGGAGGGGCGGACCGACGGAGCGACGATTGTCGCACGAAATGATGGTCTTACTTTCTTTCTTTTTAGTTGTAGGAGATTGGTTCTAATTCTGTTCAAAAACAAATTAGTAATTGGTCCTAACCGGTTAATACGCACAGTTTGTTATATTTTAGGAAGGATGAGTGGATGACATGCAGTCATAAATTATTAAATAAGGCCCGTAACATACTCGATTGGGAGTGAAGTGACAACTTTCTATAGGGTCTGGATCCAATTCCATGGTTGTGTAACGGTATTGCGTATATGTGTAATGATCGGATTAAGGCCAAAAAATCGTTAACCAAACCGCACCTTGTTATAACTAATAATGAAATGTTTGTTGCACAAGCAAAAGATGAACCAGCTAGAATAATGACATATACAGCAACAACTAACGATGGTCGGAGAAAAAAACACCTATAAGAGTGAAGTATAACAGCACAAACACACAAATATATAGTGCAGTACAGAATACACAGCTGACACTCTACATTCTTCGATTCCCTGTAAATTTAGACTACAATAGAAATAGATGTCACACCGTGAGCCGTCGATGTATGTAAATCAGCTAGCTTAGCGACTGCGGCGGTACAAGGAGTGGGTGTTGAGGATGGTGAGCAGGACGAGGATGATGGAGGCGATGAGGCCCAGGAAGACGGAGCTGCCAATGTGACGGCAGAAGTTGCCGTAGATGTTGCAGATCTTGTTCCAGTTGGTGTGCGTGTTGCCCTTGACCCCGATCCATGCTACACCACCCCCTGAGCCGGTCGCTGAAGCCATGATAGCTGCGTATAACTGCCGCCATGCATGCACGCGCACACAAGGAGATAGAGATGCACCCAATTTAAATGGATGTTATGTTAGAAATAAATACATTTCCTTTTCGCGCTGAATAGTAATAAGCTCTCTTCTTGAGAGTTTTCAAAGATGGACCCAGTGACTTCAAATACTGGAGACTAAATACGGGTAAGTAACAATAAGATCTGCCTATATATAGAGATTGGTTAATAACTCTGCGTGAATTTCTCAAAAAGAAAAAAAACTCTGCGTGAATTAAAGTAACTTGACCCAAATACTCAATATTTTGATGTACATGTCACATCTATATAGTCAATAATTGTCGCTTTTGTCATAGGAAAAAATATCTTCTTATCCACAAGAACATATGATATAGTCATAATACTTCGTGTATTATATTGAAACGATTTTTTTGAAACCTAATCCCTTTAAAAAACGAAATTTAGTAAAATATTGTGGTGTAACATGATTATTATTTATTAAAAAATAGAAAAATCTATATTGTTTTTTTTCTTACGAAAGATGGTTATATATATATGGAAATCATGATATCACTATTATGGTTTTTTTAGCAAGATCCCTATTATGTTTTCATGAAAAGATTTTTTTTAATGAAATAATATTTAGGTGAAGATCAGAAACTAATTAATAAACGTGAAATACTATAACAATATCCAAATTAAACGTGACATAGCCATGTTTTTTAATTAAAAAAAACACAGTAGTTGCCCAAAGTTTATATATGTCAAATTAAGCGCAGGGAAAAAGAACACTATTACAAAGAAGAAGAAATTAAATATGTTGTCCAAGCTTATTAATTTGTATAATAAACAAGGTGCTCACCACATCGAGCAGAACAAGGAGGAAGAGAGTCTTGGTGGGAGAGGAGCCGGAGATGATGAGCTTGAGCGAGGTGAGGGCCGTCAGCAGGCTGTAGAAGCACGTCACGCACAGCGCCACCAGCAGATATCTACCAGAGCGAGCGACGAGCACATGGCCACATGCATGCAAAGAGGCGTCGTCGTCAGAGGCCATGCTCCATGCAATTAAGGCGCGCCGGCGCCGTGATGACAAATATCATTTGCGTGCTAGTTAAGCTACTACTCACATGAGCGCCGGCGAGTGGTTGAACTTGGCGGGGCGGGAGAGGAGGAGCCCCGGGATCTGCGGGACCGGGACGAGCGCCGTCTGCTTGGCGGTGGCCAGCACGACGAGCCCCGCGAGCGTCACCGCGAACAGGAGCGCCCTCAGCGCCAGGTCGGCGCCGGAGAAGCTGCTTCTGCGCTCCGCCGGAGGGGACGGCGCCTGCTTGCCGTTGCCGGACTCCGCCGTCGGCGTGGCGTCCACGGTGGCCATGGCGCGCTGATGATCGACTCTCTGGCTAAGGCAGCTAGCTAGTAGCTAGCTAATTAGAGAATGAAGCTGCAGGGCAGGAGAGCTAGCTAGCCGGCAGTCGTCGATCGGGGCGTGTCTCCTGTTGTGTGTTGCGGCACGGCGGCTCTAGATGTTTGCTATATAGCCGAGCCGCGCGCCGGGCGGCCGGGGTGGGCCGGGTGGCACGTACGTACATGTACACACAGGGGACGGCGTGGCAGCATGCAACACGTGAGAACGCGACGTCAACTTGTCTGATACGGGGGCAGCAGCCAGCCCAGCTAGAGGGCCCAGCAGGGCGCCGGAAGTCCTCTAGCTAGTCTGGGTCCAATTTTGTGTATTCTGTTCGCTTGATTTATAAACCGTATATTTTTAGTTAATAAATAGTATTTTTTTCTCACAACAAATCAGTCAACAGTAATTTTAGTCATAGCTTAGCTGGAGCTTTGATTAGTCTCTATCTGCCTTAGCTTGCTCTGACTAGTGACTAGTGAGTGGAGTGCTACGCCAATACGCCATCCTCTGCTGATCCGACGATAGATCAAACTATCAGTATACAGTACGTGGAAGATGAGGGCGGATTTTTAGACATCGCAATTAAAAAGCAGGCAACCTCAGCTCGCGCGCGGCCCTTATTGTACCACGTCGTTTTCGAGTGCTTTGTTCACACTCGACGAAGTCAAGCAACCTACTCGTATGATGATGCTCACATCTACGTGTATGTATGTGTGTGTGTATATATCATGTGCACTCAGAGACGGCACCGGACAACTTGTTAGAATAGAACGTTCGGCTAGCTCGCCATTTTCCATGGACCTTAGCTAGATAGTCACGGGGGGCCGGCCAGGGGTGGTTGTGCTTGGCTGAGGGAATGGAAGAAGAAAACAACTTTTTACTGCCTGTTGTTTTAATTTATTTATTCTGTTCTTTAAAAAAATTAAGGTGGTTTATTCTAGCACTTTAATCTCCATCTCTTAGAGCATCTCCAACAGTATGTCCCCAATTTCCACCCCAACAAGAAAAAACTGTAAATTCAAGGATTTGAGAGCTCCAGTAGTACCCAATCTAGCCCCCAATGAGAGAAACAAAAATTCTCAGTCGTCCCTCAAAATTCATCCTCCAATCCTTCAAAGATGAGGGACCTGGACTCGCTCCCAATACGAGCGGTAGCACGCACCCGGCGTCTTCCAAGTCACCGGCGGTCTCGGAGGCGGAGGACGGTGGAGGAAGAGGAGCGGCAGCGAAAGAGGATGTGGCGCGGCTTGGCGATGTGGCCAACAAAACGAGTTGAAGGCGGCAGAGGAGAGGTGGACGAGAAGGAGCAGTATGGGAGGGAGGAGCGTAGGAAGGGAGGGAGTGGCGACGGAGGAGGACGGCTGAAAGGTCCTAAATGGCTAGAGGTGGGGTGAATAGCCTATAAAAATTCTCTACAAATACACTAGAGCAAAGGGTTAGTAAACTAAATGGCGAAAAACAATTTTGCTCTAGCTCTACAAAGGTTGCAAGCCACCTGTACCATAATTTTAGTTCTTTACCATCTCTAGGCACACACACGAACTATGTCACGACTCTTACTCTAGTTGAGCTAGCTACAAACTAACAAGAGACTAAACAAACTACTCAACTAGCTACCAGCTACCGGTCTCTACTCAAGCTACAACAAGTATGATACAAAGTAATACAAGGGAGAGAGAGTGAAATGTCCTAATATGGCTAGAGGGGGTGAATAGCCTATTTAAAAATCTACAAGATCACTAGAGCAATTTGATTAGTATGACAAAAGACGAAATGCAAACTTGCTCTAGCTCTACAGGGGTTGCAAGCCACCTATCCCAATAATTCTAGTTACTATAATCACTAGGCACACATAAAAGCTAAGTTGCTACTCACTAAGAGCTCTTAAACTAGATGAACTTAAGCTACAACTAGTTTGCGGGAAAATAATGGAGAGAGTAAGATGATTATACCGCCGCACTGAGGGATGAACCAATCACAATATGAATGCCAATTCAATCACCGAGAGAATACCAATGGGTAAGAGACAAGCAATTTTTCTCCCGATGTTCACGTACTTGCCGGCACGCTAGTCCCCGTTGTGTCGACCAACACTTGGTGGTTCGGCGGCTAAGAGATGTTGCACGAACTTCGTCCACACAATTTGATACCGCAAGAACATACCCACAAGTGAGGTAACTCAATGACACGAGCAATTTACTAGAGCTACCTTACGGCGCTTCGTCGGGTAAGGTGCAAGACCCCTCACAATCACCGGAGCCGGCCACAAACAATCACCAACACGTGCCGAAGCTCCTCCGCTGCTCCAAGCCGTCTAGGTGGCGGCAACCACCAGGAGAAACAAGAAATCTGCAGCCACAACGATCCCAAAGTGCCACTAGATGCAATCACTCAAGCAAATGCACTTGAAATCACTCAATCTCACTTTAGATTGGCAATCAAGTAGGAGAGATGAGTGAGAGTAAAGATGAAAATGGACTGGATGAATCTCGTTCCGTCCGCAACCGTATATCGTATTTTCCCGTCCGTTTTCATTTTTTGCGGGATAAACGGAAACGGGACCAAAAACAGGACGGGATACACCGGGACCGGGACAAAAAATGGTTGAGCGTTTTTCTGTCCGTATTGCCGGTATCCCGTTTTTGACTGGGATATTTCCGCTTTCATCCCGTTTATACGTTCACCGGGACAAGCGCAGAGGGCGTTGAGCCGAGCTGTGCCGTGAGCGGGCGGTCAGCCAGACTTGCTTCTGCGCTGTTCGGCTGCATGCAGAACATAACGTTACTCGTAACTCGTACATGTATGCATATATGTATATGTGACGCAAAAACATGTGTCAAATGTCTCTTTTTTCTATGTGCTATGCGTGAAAGCTGCCTACCATAAAAGGGTTAAGCACAAAAAGATTAAGCATGGATATACACGTGTATTTTAGCAAGTGACGTACACGCAAACGTATCTGAAAAAAAATGTTATAAAAAATGTTTAAAAATCATCTTAGCATGATATGTCACTTTATCACAAACATAGGAACAATTTACATCATGCATGCAAGTTAGATCTAATAGGATATGGAAATTTGATCTAATTGGAAGATATTTTACCTATTTTGCTAATATATATATTTCTTCATTCTATTACCTCCTAGAAGGTAAGATGGGATAAAAATCATCTAAATCGACAGTTCACATTTATTTGGGAGTACCGCAGCAAGCCCATTGGTTTGTCATACGTGGCATGTAGTTCCGGCTTAAGTTCCCGCATACCGTTCGTTTTCGTCTATTTTTCGATCGTATTTATCCGTTTTCGCATTACCATATATCCCGCTACCATTTCCAATCCCCGTTGTCCGGCTCCTGCTCCTGTTTCCATAAAAAATTATGAAAATGAAAACGGTAGAGCTATTTTCTATCCGTTTCCGTCCGTTTTCATCCTTAAGTGGGAGGGAGTATGCTCAGCTCACATGGATGTCAAAGATATCAAATGGCCAAGAGAAACACCTTAGAGCCGACCCCCAACTATTTATAGATGCCCCCAAAAGGAATAGAGTTGTTAGGCTCTCACTACTGCTTTGCACGGGACGACCAGACACGTAGAATGGTTGTGACCGGACGCACAAGCCCAGCGTCCGGTCCACTATCGCCGTCCACATGTCCTCTCTATTCAACCTCCACCGCGCGATCTCAATGGCTAGAACCTAATCCCCAGCGGTTAAGTCATGACCGGAAGCGCCGCATGCGCCACCTGACGCTCAAGCCCTCGGCATCCGGTCGTTTACAGAGAGCATCCAGAGCGCAAAAACGCGAACGAACGCGTCAGGTCAACGCTGACCTGACGTGCCCCAGCGTCTGGTCCTCTACCTGTTCCTTCGCGCGCAAGCTAAGCTGACGTCACCGTACGTCATGCCCCACCTGATGTAAGGCCGGTGCATCCGATTTCGCCATCACGCCGCCAGCCAACAAGTGACCGGACGCGCCGATCGAGCCAGGGCCAGCGTGCGGTCGATCTTCTCCACTCTCGGCCAGTCAGCGCTGCGCGGCTATAATTGACTGGACTCAGGGCTAGCGTCCGGTCAAGCCGATGCTAGCGTCCAGTCAATGCACCTTCGCCTCCTTTTCATTTTTTAAGTCCGCAACCACTTTGCCCTTTCTTTCAACTTGCTAACCATAAAGTGTAGAACTTGTGTGCACGTGTGTTAGCATTTTTCAAAGCATTTTATAAGGATCAAAGTTAGCACACTATGTTCCTAAATGCATATGCAAGAACAATATCACCTAGTGGCACTCGATAAACCGTTTAGCTAAAGATTTCCCCTCTTTATAGTACGGCTATCGATCCTACATGCACTTACACCCTCTATGATGTCTTAAGTGCCAAAACAAAAACCTATCATATACCTTTGCCTTGATCATCTTGGTTTTGTTTTTATCTTTGTTCTTTTCCAAGTTGGAGCTTGATCATCTTCATTTCATGTCCATTTTCAACTCCATGGATCTCATCTTTGCTCCATCACTTGGATTGGACCACCTTGTCTAATTCACACACTTATATCAAAGGTTAGTCCTATGTTTCATCAATTATACAAAACCAAACTAGGACTTTTAGAGAGGTAGGGTGATTATACCATCCGAGGCAAGTGATCAATCAATCAATATAAATACCAATGAAATACCAGGAGAATACCAATGGAGACAATGAAACACATAATTTTTCTCTCGAGGTTCACGTGCTTGCCGACACACTGAAAGCCCTAGTTTGGTTTTGGATAATTGATGAAACCTTTGTGTACTAACCTTGCAATCTAAGTGATATGTGAGATAGGTTGGTACACCCAAGGTGTGAAGCATGACGGCACTCAGGTGATGGTGATAATCACATGAAATGATGAGATGACCATATGCGATGATGATCAAGTGCTCCAACTTGGAAAAGAAGAAAGAGAAAAACAAACCATTTGGAGATCAAGG